AGAGTTAAGAAAAACCACGAGGCATTCTGTCAACACGTTTAGTTAGTGCTTGTGGGTCTAAAAAAAAAAAAAACATGTCACACACACACACACTTTTAAAGGCATTCATCTTTTGCATCTTACTGCCACGCAACTATTTTTAGGAACGGTTTATTTGTGTGCTTTTGAAGTATGCTGCAAGTTGGATGTGTACCGTCTAATGTCACATTAACACACGGGGTTGTTGTTTTTTTTAATATTATGGTGGCAATCTGTTGGCATGTCAAGTTTTTCCTGCAAACATGCATTTAAAATAAATATATTTTTAAAAATAAAACGGTAAACAAGATTCTTTTGAAGTCTACTTTAATGAGCTTGTGCTCCTTGACGGCAACCCGTTTTCTCAGCACAGGCCCATCATCAATGCATTTCCTATTGTCTTTATAAATAGCTACTAGACCGGTACGTTAGGGACTGGCCAGCAGAGCTTCCTGCTGCTGTGGCATTCAGTCTCAGTCGTTTTAAAAATGAATACAAGACAGTTTGTGGTAAGATTAATTACATGTAGTAGAGATGAAAGAGTAAGGATGGATTTTGCCGAGAAGAGTTTTAAGATACTAGGGGAAAAAAAAAAAAAGAAATATGTACCTCATTGGGTCCCACTGTCATGTAGCTGATCTGCCTGTTGATGGAACATTTAACGATGCCAGACACCAGCTTAGAAATGTCTTTGTCATCTTTTTCCTCGCATGGGATCTTCTCCACTGCAAACACAAGATTTTTGCATTGTAGTCACAACAATGATGTTGTTAACACCTACAGCACTTCTTTGACATGCCTGAAGGAAACCCGAAACAGACAACATTCCGGTTCTTCAGTTCAAACTTCAGTTCTCGTGAGACAAAACCACATTGCCGAGGTGACAGGAGATGCATAGTCACATGCGTAACTAACCGATTACTTGCAAAAGAGATGAGATAATCTTCTATGTGGTCAGTCACTTGACTGCTGTGCTACATTACCTTTTGCCTTCTTCTTGCCAAAGAAGCTCTTTGCTATTTTAGTGAAGAATTTCTTGGCAGGGCTGGGGGGGTGGAGCTCTGGCACCATCACACAGCTGCTGGGTGGAAGCTTATCAGGGGTGAAACCCTGGAGGAGGAAGAAAAAAAAAAAAAAAAAAAAAAAAAAAAAAAGGCAGAGAGGATGAGGACGATGGAAGAGGGACAACATGATACATCGAGCAAGAGATTTGCTGTTCTAGTGTCAAGCATCATTGTCCTTACTCCCAAAAAAGAAAAGGCATTATGATCTTTTAGCTAATGGCAAACGTGTCAATTAATGAACAAAAGCCCCAAATCCCATCATTGTTTCTTTAAACTGACTTAAAAAAAACAAACTTTTACATACTTTGGTGAAGAATTCGTGGTTGAGGATTTGATCCAGCGAGAGTCTGTCGCTGGGGTTTTTCTGCAGGATGCCTGAGATGAGTTTCTGTGCCGCGGGGGAGAGCGAGGCCGGCAAGTTGTACCGAACGTCCTTTATACACTTGTAGGTCTCCTTCAGGTCGAGAGTCTCGAAAGGTGGGTTGCCGCACATCAGCGTGTACCTGAACGGGATACAGCAAGGCAACCATTGTCAACTCCAGATAGAAAACGATGATTCAGAGTTAAAAAAACAACTGTAGTGGTTGGGCACCACGTCCTCATTCCCACACTGACTGAGATGAAGCTAAGCAAAACATGTTCTTCAACTAAATAAAAATGTTCATTGTACACATGCCTGGACAAAAATAACTCACATGACGCATCCGAGGGACCAAACGTCGGACTCTGTGCCGTGGCCCTGTCTGTTGAGCACCTCGGGGGCCAAGTAGTTGGGAGTCCCACAGATTGTTCTGAGAAAAAGAAAATTACAGGATATATTTAATGCTTCAAAGGGCCTTCTGCTCTGTAGATGCATCATGCAGACAAGGAAGTAGTGGTTGAGGCATTGTTTTTTTTTTTCCTGCAGCAGTCATTCCACAGGAAGGTGTCAAACTTGTATCGAAACTCTGCTCTAAGCGCTACATTCAACTGCCACTTGAAAACCGGTTTAGTTGGGTACTTACTGAGGGGAAAGTTGTGGTAGGAGGAATGCACTGGGTAACTGACGTAATGGTTTTAGGTCAATGTGCATTGCACAAGCCTAGAAAATGGCTAAGACCGCAGTGTTCAGGTTTTTCAGATGTTATGTTTATGTATCGTAGCTCAAATTTGGGTATAAATTATCCCAAAAATATTATTCTTTCTAAACCTCGGTTGGAAAAATACTTAAGTATTTTAAATAGTGGGAGTTAAGCAATTAAAAATGCGTACTTTTTCCTCATCTCGACTGTCTCCAGCTTGGCGGCGAGGCCAAAGTCTCCCAGACGCAGGTCCATGTTCTCGTTGACAAAGAAGTTGCCTGAAAGAGACAAAAAAAACATTTTCCGGTCAGCATTCCGCAGTCAACATGTGCCTGCCCCCTAAAGTCACAGCAGATTCCTGGGATGCTTGTTGTGCGCCAACCACGTTCCGGTCATACGCTCACATACCTAGTTTGAGGTCTCGATGCAGGATCCCTCTGCTGTGGATGTACTTGAGGCCGGATATGATCTGTCTGAGGTAATATCGCACTTCTGGCTCTGTGAGCGTGTGTCTTGCCTTCCAGATGTGTGCCAGGGACTGCAGGGACAGAACAAGGAGTGAATACGTGAGACTGTACAACACTGCTGCACATACAGCACACACAAATTATCAATAATGATTAGGCTTTGAGCTTATCTTGAGTCAAAAACAGTGTGTATATAGTCTATATTGTGCCATGGAGGAGAGTTACAAGGCAAGCTGCATATGAGCAAGCAAAACACATAAGCTGTGCAGACTGTTCCTTTTTTTTTAGAAATTCCTGTAGTCTCACCTTCCGACTGCAGAGCTCGAGGAAGATGTAGATGTTGTCTTGGTCTTCAAAATGATGAGAGAATTTCACCACATGCTTGTGCGACAGGGTTTTGTGGAGCTCGATCTCATTCGTGATCTGTTAAGATTTGACGAACCTCGTCAGTTCGTGTGCACATTTCAAGCCTAACAAAAACAGAATCCAGGTGTTGGATTGAGCTCATGCAAGGCACGAACAAGCGTGATCACGTACCTTGTCCCTTTGGTGTGGTTTGGACACTCTGCTCTGTGGAATCACCTTCACGGCATACATTTTGTTGCTGGAGATGTCCGTCATCTCGTAGCATCGAGCGAAGCCACCCTATTGGGGGGGGGAGACAACACAAGGATGATCAGTTGAGAAAAGCAGCAGGTTGAAAACCTGCATTGGCCATAAATAATCTGCCTGTTTTTGATCCGAGGGTCAATAGCTGTGCTGCAATCAAAATGATTTAGCCAAGCAAAGGTTGGTGTGGAGGCAAAGGTAACCAATGAGAGAAAATAACCGATCCGGGACAGAATGTAAGATGTATCATTTCATAAATCGAGATGAGAAACTGACGAGCATCTTTTGTTGCATAGTGTGCTCCGACATGCTTCTAGAAAACAGATCATCATCAACCCCCTAATGTCGTGTTCATTCACAGATTCCAGATGCAATCAAGACTACATATTATGCTTGAGGACATGAGGGTTGAGTCAGACAGAGCTGCTGCATTCATTAACCGTGAAACTGACGGAGACGTTTCCAGCTCTGCGGCAGGCAGCGGAAGAAAAGAAAAACGTCCAAAAAAAAAAAAAAAAAAAAAAAAAAAAAAAAAAAAAAAAAAAAAAAACTTGGCTGGCAGCCCGACGCAGCATATCGATGACCAGCAACATGTTGGTACATCCGCCTCCATTCATACATCGCACATACGTGCGGTGTCAAACATCATTACAGCGGCGGTATTGTAGGAAGGGGAGCCGCGGAGCAGCCGCGCAGACGTGTCATTGGTGGAATAGTCGTCTGAGCAGTCATTTAAAAATGAGATTCTTGTGAATAACGATTCTTCTAATCGACTTTTTTTTTTTTTTTTTTTTTTTTTTTAAAGGTGTTGCCAATCATGTGTGTGTGTGCTCGGGAGCTGGGCACACCTTGCGCCTGATTCACCCAGTAATGACGCGCACAGCAGGGGGAGATTGGTCACATCCACCACGAGGTCATGTTCCCTGCATGGTTGTCATATCTGGAAAACGGCTAATAATTAATTTTTATAAATCATAGACAGCTTCCGCATATAGACCTCAAGCAGCGACTCGTTTATAAACATGCAAGACCAGTTCGTTCACCTCAGATGACAACACACCTTCGGTGAAGCGAGACTACGGCACATTAAAAAAAAAGCTCCGTACCTTTCCCAAAAGCTTCCCTTTACTGTAGGACCTTCCCGTTTTGGAGTCAGTCACCACCTGAGCCAGCTCCGGTTTGATCTGTTCGGGTTTATTCCTGCTGGTTTTCACCGGGGCAGAGGACTGTTGGGGTCCACGCTCCGGAGCGGGCTTAAATAAATCCGCATTCATGGCGTGGCACGAAATGCGCTGCGCCGCGGTGAAACAACCGGTATCCATTAAACACAGCGGTGGAAAGAACCAGTTCGTGTATATGTATATATAGATATATATTCCTTTCGCGTATTTTTCTCAGTGGTTGGTGTGGTGCGTAATGATGCGTCCGCCTCGTCCAACTCTATCCATCTGGAGTGTCTGGGCTCTGCAGGCTATATATAGGCGAGCAGCGACGTCACGGGACAGGGGGCGGGGCGAGGTGGTGCGCTGGTGGAGAAAGTCCAGACGATTTGATCAGATCAAATCTCGATAAAAAAAAAAATGAATCTGTTACACTTTGATGTCGCTCGTAAAGCTGCCGAGAGGCCAATGACACGCTGTAACCCGAGCAGGGGGGTTTCTATGTTCGTCATGTTTAAACTCTGATGCGATGATGGTCACTTTAAGAATACTGTTTATTCTAACACCACATTCTCATTTTACTCAACCTACTGTGACCGTTTCATTGTATAAGGGCGATTGTGTTAAGAAACGAGTCCAAGTGAATAACTCACCAAGCGGTAAATGATTCTACCTTTATTACTGAGCAAGGAGAGCACGTCATGTAATATTATCCTAGTGAGACATCTGCTCAATCAGAGGAATTGTGAATGGTGATTTCCAGTTCACCACATACCACAAATTAATTCCAATTTGTGAAATGTTGCCATGAGTCTTATAATTAAAAAAAGAAAAATTCTGAGGAGCAATTTTTTTTTTTTCCCCAAAATCCTCAGAATACTACAAAATAAAAGCACACATTTTCAATAAATCTTGGGTTAGATTTACCCCGTCTGTGTGTGTGTGTATAAGTGTGAAACACTCAAAGTAACAAGTGTGAACTACTCATCGCTGCTGCCACCTGGTGGACAAAATTCTGCAGAACTGATTGTGTACATTACTCAAAACTCCCATTATTCAACAGTCTACACATTGTACTTTGACTGTTTTTAAAGCAAGACAGGCCACCAACCAAAAGCTGTGCTGCACAAACAATAATCCAGGTGACCGTTGCTCATCTTACTTTATAAAAATAGAAAAAAGGTTCAACTTAAGACCAGGTCGTCACTGTCTTCAAATAAAATGCCACGTTTTTCTGTGTGCAGGCAGGCCTGTGAAGGCATATCTAAATTATGACAACGCAAATTACACCTCTTGAAGACATGACAACATGAATACTGGGCCAGACAAGTCTAAGAAATGGTTGGTTAAAACACTCCAAACCAGAAGATAAACAAAGGCAAAGTAGAGTCAGTTCAAGATCTGTATTTGTGAGAACGTCATGAAGAACCTGAGGGCCGGCAACAATACACGTAAGACTAGAACAAAAGCAGAGGTAAAATAAGCAACAGAATTAACACGTGGGAAACAAGCAAGTTCAACAGTGCTGCTGTAAATATAGTGGTAAACTGTCCATACAATGAAAATGCAACAGTCACATGAAGGAATTACTAAGTGTTTGAGAGCATTACGCTATGCAACAGGAATGGGTGAAATACAGTAAATGTCAAACACAGACCTGTGTAGTAATGTGAGTTATTACACTTGAGCAGTATTCTCTTTGCAGCTATCATTTGAGCTATTTATGGAATGACAAATTTTTTTTAAAAAAGGCCTGAAATGAAGACGTTAAAAGAAGTCAGAAGAGCCCTCTGGTTGACTTCATTAAAGGAATATGAGCATGACTTTGGCAAATGTACACGTGGAAACATTTTCAGCTCGGTTTAGCTGCACAGGAACGATATGAAGATGTGACTTTACAGAACATCTCTCAGGTATTTAATAATCCCCGGTCCAATTTAAACTATGACTTACTCACAGACATTAACCTCAAGAAAAACAACTGCATTGTGGTCCTTTAACACATTCAATCTGACATTACCAAACAAAGTGACCGACGCAGCTTCTTGTTGTGTTAAGGTAGCCACCTGGTAGCCACCGCCCTTATGTTTGTACAGATGTTTTCCATGCAATTTATTGATAGCATTCTGCATTACGTTCCATGACATTTCAAAGCGGGGCCAAAACTAGGCCATCCTGGGTTTAGATATTAATCCCAAAACTTTATTCATGATCTGTACACAGAATTTCGAGATTTTGTCAAAATATGATTCATATATTGGACTCATAATATTTAATATTCAAGTCATGTCAAATGCATCCCTGGCAGCTCTCCCTTGGTGCTGCTTGTGGAGCTCAGAGGTCCATCATGTCTTCTCCTCCTCCTCGAACTTTCTTCTCCTGGGACTCTGACCAGGCTTTGTTGATGGTTCTCTTCATCTCGTCATCGCCCTCCGTGTAAATCTTCTTCAGCATGTTCATCAGACCGTCGCTGGGGTCTGCGTTCTCGTCAACATTGGGTTTACTGTTGAGAGACAATAGGATAACAGTTTGTATGTCTTGATACGAATAGCTGGGATTCTCATCCTCACCATGTGGTATGGAGTACAGTGACACCTGGCTCAAAGACATGGTACTGCACTGCAATGTGTTAGAGCGTATGTGTATGAGAACACTGGAAAGTGTACAAATAGTTAGAAAATAAAAGACATTATGGTGTTTTTTTCTGCTCACGCCATTGTGTCCTTAGTTACTGACAACACATTGGCATCAATAGAAGTAGTGGTGGTACTAATCACCTTGTACAAATTAATTTGGTGGAAGCTTGTAGTGGCCATATGTCACTTAAGATCCCTGCTTTGTGCAAGTTACTTTAACTAATATGAATTAATATTCCTTATTTATTTGAACTTACTCTTTCTCTTTAGACTGCTTTTCCACCGTTGTTAGACAGTCCCACTTCTTTGTTGTCTGCTTCTTGCACATGACCAGGATCATGTCTGTTTTTATCTGTTGATGGGAGGAAAGATGGTTAAAAGGCCTTTCAGAAGCCAACAGGACTCTGCTGCTCTGTTTTCCCCAGGAGGTAAGCAGAGTGAACAACGGGTCAAATGTAAGTCAGCACTGAGCCTGAATGCAGCAGTTGGTAAAACAAGGGACTACTAGAAACCCATGTTTCTTTGTTGCTGGGTTGCTAGTTGTGCCTTAAATATTATTAATAAATCTGACCTATTTCCGGCTTCAACTTTTTGACTGATAAAATCCAAAACTCGTGCCACTTTCTATCAAAATACAGTGTATTCCTTTAAAGGATGAATAAGCTTTGTCCACCTTTTTATAGCTGTCCTTTTCATCGACTGGATATAACAGGTTGAGGATCGTCATCTGATGGTTTTTCCCATCAAGATCCTTTACCAACACAGAAAAAGACCTGCAAAAGAGAGGACGAGCAAACACAATTCAATTCATTGTGCGGGTAGTGGCACATGATTCATGTAAATATGCTAATTATCATCGTACCTTTCTGTAAAGTTGACCTCCACGTTGTCTGATGGAATTTTGTGCACATCCTTCAACGTGAGGTATATTTTGATGAATTTCTCTGACTGGTCCCAGGCTGCATAGGAGAGGCAAAAGTGCGAACATTATTTTCAAATGCCTTTCAGCTCTTGCACACATCTAAACAGTTGTACTTTCTCACACATGACTGGTAGTCTTACTAAACAATGGCACCCTACCATAGTTGTTGATCTTGACTGTGTATACTGCTTTAGAGGCAGCAGATGGGTCTGCATCTCTCTTGGCTTGTTTCTCCTTTTGTTGTCGTTTGACTGCGAGCTCCTTCTCCACCTTCTTCTGCTCCTGCTTTAGCACCTCCTGCACTCTTTTTCTCTCCGCCTTCTCCAAGAGTGACCCCAGCTCCACGAAATCGGCCTCCAACTGGTTGATCTGTATTGGAGAAAGAATTAGACCAATTAAAGACAATTTGATGGAACACGATATTAAATAATGTGTAAAATGTGCTTGTTTCTCCATTTGTTGATCAACACGTCACAACATATCTCAAGTTTAAATACTAAATATTTGCTTCAAGGTTGTACAAGTGTTGCTTGAATGTCACTTTGTTATATTTAGAATATTTAAGGTATATTTGTTGTTACTGGTCAGGGATAAAAAATAAAAAAAATTATATATTGGGGTAGCCTTATGGTAGTGTTTTTCCTCTTTTTGCCCAGTCCTTTCTAATGCAAATCACCCTGTAGCTGGGAAATAAATACTGTACACTCAAGCGACATTAAGAATATCACCTATCAGAGAAAATACGAATTATGTAGTTATTTATTTTTGCTTGTGAAATCAGTTTACTGGAAGAGGACCGATCACCCCATCACTGCACATGAGGGATGCTGAAGCAACTTAGATGGTGGCGTAAAGTCAAGAAAAGCAAGCTAACCGAAACTAAACTGTAGACAGCTGTAGACAGCTAGCGTACTGCTAGCAAGCTAGCTACAGATACATACAGACAGACATGAATAGGCAATGATATTTCTTTGGAGAGTACGCCATTAAAAAACGTTGAGTTGTGGATACAAATGTACATACTTCATACTTCTTAACTAAAATTGGAAACAATAACAGACTTTGGTGGTTAGCAGTTGCTTGCTAATTCGCCAAGTTAGCTAGCGTAGCATTGCTTTTAGTAGAATCATGTCACATAACGTCAGTTCACCCTACAGCTAAATTCAATGAACTCATACAAACCCTAGCTTGGTCCTGTTGGCTTAATTACACTAAACTGAATAAAAACGTTCCGTTTACCTGTTCGGTTATATCCATTTATCCTTTGTCAGTTAAATTCGCTATGTTCAGAAATGTGTTTGTGTAGCGTTACTAGTCTGCTGCAATACTTTTCACCCTTCACCGGATATGGTTCTTCTTCTTCTTTTTGAATAATGGCGGTTGTCAAGCCAGCCTACGGGTGCACTACCGCCACCTATTGGACCGAAGTGTTGGCATCCATAAAATATACAAATTAAAATACATTTTCTCGATAAATGTTCTTTTAAGTAGTTAATTGCATAACTATTTCTTGTTATGCCTTTCAGACTAAACATCTTAACATAACTTGAATGGATGCAATTTTGCTGCCACTCACCACAGCACTACTAATTTTAGTATTTTTACATTATAGTGAATGATCAAATAATGTGTATTATTTGTTAAAATACAAATTTTACTTAAATAAAGGTTTTTGGTTGAATTCAATATCAAAACCCATCCTATATTGTACGCAGTTTAGGACTCCAATAGGTAACGATTTAACATATGCTCAGCTTTGATTTGAAGTCCTCCTCACATGAGCTTGGCTTCACACAACACAGGCACAAGCTAGAGCTTTCAACAAAGTCTGGCCTTTGTCTTTAGTGTCCAGAGGGCTGGGTAGTGTAGCTGTCAAAGAAATGCCTCACACGTGTTAAAGCCACATGCGAGCCAAGCTGTCAAAGGAACATAACCTCATACTAGTGTGTTAGCTCTGGAAAATCCTACCCCTGCAAATGGCAACCAAAATGACATCATTTTGTGCCACAACAAAACAGCTATATCACAAAGGTGCCATTTTAATGGATAAGGGTCAAAGTCATTAAGGAAGTGCAAATGTGCATTTCAGATACAAAGTTACCTACATTTCAATTGTGTTCCTTGTTATAAACTGAATTTGTTTTACTATGACTTATTTATGACATTATTCAACATGCTATACTATGACTTTATTCAACATGCTATACTATGACTTTTATGACTTTATTCAACACTTTACTTTGAATTTTTCTGAATGCTAATAATGAAATGCGCCAAAGGCCCTCCTCTCACCACACCATCAGTGTGCCTCCACTTACAACGTACAGTATGAGAGAAATGGATGCCACAGTGAAGCCATTTAGTGTGAATGTGAACATGTGTCTGCAAAAAGCTTGTAAATCAAGTTTATTTCATTAAAAATGATCAGCGCCCCCGCTCTCTCACCCCCCGTCCCCATCTCCAGTGCCTTTGTCTTCAGTGGTCTCTCCCCAGTGTTGGACCGCTGAGACTTGCCTGTCGCAGTGTTTGCCTTCAACATCGTCATTGACCTCTACGTCCTTTGTACCGGCCCAGACAACCCTTACTTCCCACACCACCCGGCTACGCCACCGGGGCTGCCTGGAGCACAATGGCACCGAACTCATTGCAGTAGGGGTGAGGCGTTCCAACGTTTAATTAAATGTTTGTGGATAGGTTGAGTTATATTACACGGAAGCCAGGAGGTTGCTGTTCAAAAGCAGACTCTTAAATCATGATTGTCTCTCAGATCTTGAAGCTTGGTCAAACTTCCAAAATCAACACAAGGATTATTTTCCTACTTTTTTTTATAACCAGTGTAAGTCTAGAAAACACACCTAAAAGATTTGACTCTACTATATTTTCGAGACCAACCTTCTTATGACTGCAAATTAGGTTGAAATAAAATAACATACATAACATAAAACATAACAAATATGAGAACTGAAACAAACGGGAGATAATTGACACACTTATACAGGTAGGCAAAGGTTGTTCAATCAGGAGAAACTTAATTTATAGTGAACAAATACATTTATTAAATTGTGCAAAGTAAAGATTTTGGAGAGTCGACACTGGTGGGGGTGTTGAAGAAAGTAGGGGCAGGTTGAAGATCTAGACGATGGCATGCGGAGTGGGACTGAGCTCAGTGGAAGAAACCTTGAGCACCGGATGTGATGATGAATGGGGAGGAGGGTCACCTCGATTCTGAAATGACAGCTGACTGCAGAGAAGAGAACAGGTCTTTAAAGTTTGATGGGAAATATTTGATTGGCTGAGGGATGGCGTGGTGAAATTGCCCACTGTCAGCTGATAGAGTAGGAGCCAGAGAGCGAGAGCCAGAGAGAGTTGTGAGTGAATGAGAGCATACAAACACTGTCCTAATGTAGGAGGTTAGAATAAATCCCAACATTTTACATAGTTAACTATTTTACAACTGTATGATTATAAAACTACATTTCAAAATAGCACTCCTATAAGCAAAGCTCTCTAAGTTTTACTGTACTTTACTCTCAGTAAATAATCAATGTTAACAACTTGATATTAAAGGAGGGATTTGGTAATCCTAAAATCAATATGGTGGCACCAAACATCCTGAGCCAAAATTACGTAAAGTGGTAGCACTCAAAGTCTATTCTGAATCCAAAGTTACAGGTCAGATATGCTACTGGTTTACACGACAGGAGTTTGGTGCGAGTATCTCACCACAGCATCCTACATCGGACACACCGGAAGCCTGAAGTGAGCTCTGAGGCAGACTGGCACGCAGACTTCCTGCACCCTGGTAGCATTGAAGACTGGTCGACCATCTTTACACTCTGCTGACGGCAGCCTGTGGCTTGCCCCACACGCATGTGGGGCTTAAGAGCGTGACTGAGTCTTCCCTACAGTTCGAACGCTCACCGTCAGCTAGGCTCCGAGAAGCCAGGGCTACTACCAGGGAGCCCCTCAGGAAGCCTGACCACAGTCCAATATAAAACTTTAATAGATATTGTGAACAGTGGTTTTGCCGCGGCCTGCCTCAGAGCTCAACAAGTCACAACAAAAGTTGAAACTGTTGCAAGTAACTCCACAAATGATCCTTTTAACATTGTTAAGCTGTCTATGTTTGCAAATTCATATTCAAATGATAATACTGTATATTGCATCCCATGTACTGTATGGTAACTATATCCACACCCAAATCTCACCTGCACCTGAGTTTGGGAATTAGTCAGTTGATGGATTTAAGACCTTAAAACTGTTGTGAACTGAATTATTTGGTGGATAATAGTTATTAAGACAAATAATAAGTCTTTCTACTGATTATTTTTTGTTGGCGTAGCACGTTTCACTGCTCTGATTGGAAGAAACACAATTTGCATTTTACTATGACTTTTTTCGACATGCTAAACTGACTTTGTTATGACTTTATTCAACATGGTATACTATGACTTTTTTATGACTATCTGACATAATCCATGACTTTTGACAAAGTACCATCTGAGGTCCCCAAACTTTTTTGCACCACGGACCGGTTTCATGTAAGGCAATATTTTCAAGGTGTTTGGGGAAAAACACGAAGAAATAAAATGATACGATCGGCATGAAAACAAATATAAAATGCATAAATAAATACAACTCACAATAACGCTGAATCAGTGGGAGCCCTGAGCTTGTTTCTCTGCAACGAGACGGTCCCATCTGGGGGTAACGGGAGACAATGACACCCGAAGTGTGTTCCTGATGTCCAGTCTACTCCGTAATTTTGTTTTGATTGCCGGTGTTACGTCCCTACTGGTTTCTGAACCTACAGGTTTCTCCTCCGTGCGCAGCAGCTGTTTTCTGCTGACTCCTGATATTGTCTGTTAGATGAAGCTTTCATTTTCTTGGAAGTTGTAGGCTCTTCTTCTGTCTCCTTTCCCCTTTGCAAAGAAGCTCTCCAAAAGTTATTTACTCATTTTCGCTAGTTTGCGGGCTTAATTTTTGAGGTAATTTATCACGTGACCGAGACAAGCGTCTTGACATGTGTCAAGAGGCTCAGACGGATGAAATTGCGAGAGAATCCGGTCATTTTTCAAAATAATGACCGGAACTCAATAAAACGGAAATAATATAATATTTATTCTTTCTGTGCGGCCCGGTACCAAATGATCCACGGCCAAATGATCCATCTCTGCTGATCATTCACTGAAGACTGGATCAGTGGTGTTGTATCACAACAGAAACACTATCGAAAGACAACATTTAGTGACACACTAGGGAATGTATGGCGAATGTGAACAAAACCTATAAAAACACATATTTAGTTGATTTCAAAACTCAATAACTATGTGTTAGACAATCTGAAAAACGAATATGTATCATTGACACAATACATTTGTTGTCATGTAAAATAGGTAATGAACTCTAATTCTGCTTCTGCCATTAAATGAAAGCTTGAAAATGCATTTTTCTGTCTGATGAATATAAAGAAGTAAACATGTCCCCACTCGGGGACAGTGTTTCCTAAAACAACACTTACCTCTGTGAATAAATGTGAGAATACCATTCATTCCATAATTTACTGGGATAGTCCCTCCGCCTCTGTGCTTGTATTTTAACATTCTTTTAGAAAGCTACTACTCTGTACAACATGTCGAGTGATATGCATCCCATTTAAGCAGCACCTTTAGTTTTATTTGCGGAAATGTATTTATTTTTGGACTGCTACATATTTAGACTGCAGTTGCAGCCAAAAGTGAAAAAACAGTATATACCTCTTGTTGGAGCTGGACGTGGTCACGTATTGTTTAAATGATTAGTGCTGACATCAGAGTCAATGTCATGTAATATAACAAGAAGCTGTCAACTTATTACTGTATCATTTCACAGTCCTAAACCCCTTAACCCGATACATACAACGACATATTAAAGTGGCTCTTACCAGTGTTTATAGGTGCTGTTGGCAGGTATGATAAAATACCTAAAGACTTTTAAAGGATATGTTTCCGATATTTAAAATAAATGCTCACTTTCAGGACACTTACTAATATGGGGATCAAGACGATGAGAAACTTTAGACAAACATGTCAATTTCCTCATTGAACCTGAACTATCAAACATATTAATTTACCTGCCAAAAATAATGTATTGTGACAACCCCAAATTAAAATGTAAAGAGCAAAGATGAATTAGGGATTTAGGGCCAGATTAAAATGAAACATAAAAAATTAATAACATGATTAAGTGCCCTCTAGGGTGCCTTCTCGTGGAGAAAACATGATTAAGTGCCCTCTCGGGTGCAACTTCCAATGGGGAAAGCATGATTAAGTGCCCTAGTGGGTGCCCTTAAATGGAGAAAGCATTATAAAGTATATACATTATTATACATTATAAAGTAAGAAAAAAACACGATGCCATATAGGCTGCCCTACATGCTGGAAAACTTCCTGTGTGCTGGTGTGGGGATTTCTTGCTTGATTGAAACTCTGTTTTTAGTGAGCGAGGCAGGTGGATGGTGGGGTGACGATGTGTGAGCTATGTTGGACGTCCACAGACAGGCAGGCTGGGTAAACAGCGACTAAGTGTGTGGGAGCATGGAAACTTCCACAGACACTTGTTGGAACCGAGAGCTGTGAGCTACATGGGTAGTGGTAGATTTAGGGGAAAGATGGGATACTGGTGGAGCAGAAGGTAAAGTGTGATATAAACCAGAGGAACAATGAAGCGATCAGGAGAGAGGAACAAAGGGGATGCATCATCCAATAGTCTACATCACATCTGTAAAACCAATTATTCTTGCCCTCTGACTGGTCAAGACAAATGGAAAAGATGTTGGAGAAGATATAGAGCTTTAGTTGTTCCTGTGTCTAAAGTGACATTACATAATGTGATATTACGTAACGTCACTAACAACTCACCTTGAGTCATTGAGCTTAGCTAAGATAAACTACTGCGATGTTGCAGGACACATGGGTTTGATTTTAGGTGACTCTGTCAACAGTGAGAAAACTCACTTCTGAAGGTAGAAGAAAATATGTTTTTCCATGACCATATTTACAGTATATGGCAAGTCGTTTCATCAACTGTCATCAAAACAAGACGGGGGAACAGGGTTAGTTATGTACAATATTTATTCATCCATGGCGATCTCAAGTTACATGGAAATGTACTCTTCTGAGAAGTCTGTTTTTTTCATATAATACAATCTGACTGTAGAGTCCAACGGACGCCCAGTCACCACCTTGCCCTCAGAATCCCGGACAACTGGTTGTAGTCAGCCAAGTGACGGAAGAAAATTCGGCTCAGTCGCCACCTCCGCTTCACCCCCCGGGGTCTGGATGTCATCACACACCTGTTGCGTATTCTCACTGGACAGCTGTCTCTTGGTAATGCTGCAATTTCTTTATCTGCCACCTCCTGCAAAACATGTTCAAACTGTTTAGGAATCGTCTTGGATGTTGGTTTTCATGAATCATCTCCCACAATGATCACTAAATATTGTATCATGGTTAAAGTTGATGAATGCTAACATTGAATTATTGCTCAGTGCTATGAAACACTTTTTTAAAATCTGGCAGTTTGAGTAGAAATATTGCGTTGTACCTGAAGCTCTTTGGGTAGAATGGTGTTCTTCCTCAGTGCATTGATCCGTAACCTCTCATCAGCATAGTCAAAAGCCATCTGTCTTCTCTTCACGTCCCTGAGCATCCTCCAGTCGACGTAGTAACTCCTCACCTGCTCCACCGCCCCCCAGCAGCTCCTCAGGGCCTGCACACAGCGGTACGGCAGTTGTTATCGACAGCTAATATTATGCAGGGAAAACTAATAGATCCCTACCAAACATGTTCTTGTGATCACAAGGTCGATCGTTTGGATTCATCCACACTGTCGGCTGCCTCCTCTTAGTCGATTAGTCAACTAATGGATGACTTATTTCTGAACTTATAAGCACACTTCTAAATAGGTAGGTAGTGTTAGTTAATGCAATACAATACAAAAGGCGTCCGTTACTAATCAGGTTAGCTAACGTTAGCATTAGCTACGAAGCTAATGTCGGAGAGCTAGCAACACCACTAGCTAATACTGAAAACGTTGCTTTCTCCATCCTCATAAATCTGCGATACAGTCTTATTGAAAACATTCAAACCTCAAATATAGCGTTACAAAAAGTAACGTACCTGCTTTGGGGCGCAGACAGTAGAATAAAGGGCATTTAACCCTAAACATGTTATCTTGTGGGCCGCCATATTGAATGTTGTCGTGATGCAGAACCACAGAAGAAGAATGATGGCACACGGGAAATATCGCCACCTATCGACCAGGAGTGTGACATGGAAACAAACCTGCTGGTTTTGTGTATCAAAATAAACATATTTTCCGACCAATGTTGCAGTCAGTTTATGTGATTATTTTTGCTTTGTTATAGTTTGACATTTCAGATGATGGATAATCAAGAAGGTAGATATCCCATATGAATAAATTATAAGTATGATCATGAGTTTGAAAGACCAACTTCAGGACAAAGTGGTTCGCTATGTGATTATCATAAATGTATACTGACACTGACACTTGATTGCAAGATTAAGGCTGCGTCTGTTCCTAACCACTTTTCCTTGACCTTTATGGAAAACGTTATGGGGTCAAGGAAAGATGTGAAGCAGAATGCATGAGGATCTAGGAAAAGATAACCGTGGTGTTTGGAGAATCCGACTACACTTTTACTAAGCACGTAATTATGATGCGACGGCGGAAGTCACTGACGTAGGTCTGCCATGGCGAAACTACAACGAAGGACTACAAAAAGCGCAAATAAAACACATCGCCATGGAATCTCTTAGCCCGATAAATGCAGGCTTTATAAACAGCTTTCTTTGTGACAGTTGATAGTTGAGTTTGAAGTATGAATCTCTTTCTGTTTGTGTTTCACAGGACAGGACTCCTCTGTGTTTTTGTCTCACTCATGGGGCAGCTGAGAGTGGAGGTCAACCAACCCATCATCCCAGGAAGACCCAGACCCACCACAGACCACTGAACACTCTCAGCACCCCAGTGAGTCCGAGACCCAGTGAGTATGGTTACGTCCCCCCGCCCCTTGTGCAAGTGATAATTTAATATATTTTAGATTTTCATTTGACTCAAAGGCATTACTGTTAGTACTGTTAAGTATTGATAATCATAATATTACATGTTAATATAAATAAAATGGGGAAAGGTTTAGATTATGGCCCGCAACGTGCAGCATAATTCTTCCCAATTTAATTCAAACTAAATCATAAATAATTAAATTTTTTACTGATTGTTAACCAGTACAGAACGTAATGATACATACATGTAGGTGCAAGGGAACAAGATGTGACGTTAATGAATAACGTTAATGAATAAGGGGGAAACAATGTGGGAACTTAATGAATTTATAACACTGCTGTAGTTTATTTCAAAATGATCAACTCACCAACACTGAGAGGCACAGGTGATAACAAAATAAGGAACTACATAGAAAATAACTTCAAGTTACATTTGTGTTTTTACTTTGCAGCAAACAGAGGTAGAGTACTGTCAGATACATACTGACAAAAATTTGTGTCATTGCACAATATCAAAATGAAATTATGATATGACGAGGTCATCTTGTCATATCACAGTTACTGATAGGTCTGTCATTCAAATTTTTAGGCAGCCCAAAGAACACATTCCCCATTACTCAAATTCTGAGAGAGCTCAGTGACAAAATTGATAACCTGCAAGTGTGCAAGTTCAACGTCAATCGTTCTGCTGTCCTCCATGGAGCAATAAGGGGTTCAGAAGGCTCTCCTATGACCCAAATAAAAAGATGTTCATAAAATGTATTTAGCGTCTTTCACACATTTTGATCAAACATCAAATACCAACATACCGTAACATGAAACAAATACTATAAAAATAAATCTCTAAACCAACTTCTACTGTTAACAAACATGTGATGTTATAAGCTGCCGGTAATAGAGCAGAGGCTCCCGGTAACGTTAGCTAGCTTGTCAGCTACGAACGTCACGTAACTTAACCAATCATTTTCACAGAGAGAGTTCGAACAGCTCTTATCATGGCGGCCACTTCGATACTTCCGGGTCATTTCACTCAGCTAGGAACCTTCCTAAGCAAAAAGTACTTTTCGACCACAGCCTAGATATGGTTACAACAGTGATGGGATACCAGTTGTACCCTTTGGCAGCTTTGACTACAGCAGGAGGAGTCAATTCATGCTTGGGACTTGCAAAGTTAAACCCCTGTAGTACTACTTAAGAACCAACAGGTGGCAGTGTCATTCTATGAGTCTCTTTCTCATCGCCCACCAAAGGAGCGCGGTCCTTCATACTGAGTCTAAACCTCATGTCTGACTGAAATCCTACTCTTCATGCATAAACATGTATATGTACAGAGATTATTATATGTAAGAAATGTAACAATCGCAGCAGATTCCATTTAAGCGTTCTTAAACAATCCCCATTATTTTGGAGCCTTGAGCGGATGCGTTCTTGGATAAATATTAACACATGACAAGCTGGAGGCCGTGCTTCCTCTATAAAGAGCAACATCACGAAGCAGGCCGGAAAATCTGTAAAGGCTTGAATTAAATCAAAAATGACTAATTGCATCAATGTAGCTTGTATAACAGATAGTGGTATTTGTAAACCTGATAGCATCAACTGTCTTTTATTCTCTGGGTTAGTAGGCAACATTTCGTTTTCTTCAAATCACGTTACTTGTACAATTATATGGTTATCAAGCAAGAAAAAACAAGTTTTTGTTCAGTTTTTGAGATTTGGAAAACACAGCATTGTCTTTTGACAGCAGCTGTATATCATCGTTCAATGTTTTTTTGGCTCTCAGTTGGTTTGTAAACGCCTGAAGTGGCTATTCCAAGACCACCAGCTAGGAGGGCAAAATCATTCCCTCTGTAATGTCTTTATACCCCCATAGCAGAGAGATGTCAGAGGCTTGAGAGCATCTGAAAGGTGACCTTCTACGTTTCCATGTATTGTAAAATTCATGAGAAATGCCAGGCGGCCAGGTTCTGCCAGCAAGAGTAAAGCTCTGTGTTCCTACAGTTGGCAAAAGTACCTTTCTGCTGGAGGAGTTTAAACATTCTTTCATCAGACCTTAAACATCTTGATTGGAGTTCGTAAGTGTTTGACAGTGTGAAGAATGGGTGTGTTAGGCTTACAATGGCTCATAAATTCAATGACATTGACTATCAGAAACATTTGATCTGTTGTGTGTGGATCTGTGTGAAGGGACCAATGGAGAGGAAGCATTGAAAGAAATGATTGGACTTTTGGAAGCCGAATAACAAGTCTCTTGTCAGCTGGCATCAAAAGAGCAATTGAATATAAAGGTGTCGTGTAGACAGGTGTCTTCACAGCAGTGCAGTTTCATGCCTTACAGAGAGGATCAAGACCTCTGGCTGGATCAAAGCAAAGACTTGGGAGATTTGGGGGCAAAGCCATGCAATATAGAACTGATCTGTTTCTGAGATAAGTTACTCTGCGGCACTGCTGACAAGTGGCCTCATCCATAAAAATGACGGCAGCGCGTTGAACATGGTGAAGATGATCTAACTGAGGCTCAGACTATTGGACTTTAGTATTGAAGCACCAGGTAGAATTTGAAAATACACGAGACGCTATAGTGACTATATTGTCATCCAATAATGCTCCGGTATGATGGATGGACTGTATGCATTTATATAGCACTTATATATCGCAAATTGTTTCTATCCACGTGGTTGTTTGGTACAGTTTGATACAATTCGGATTTCAGAGGGAGGTTGAAAATGGCTTTTTAAATTTTTTATTATTGCTAATCTATAATCTTTTTCTTATGCGACTACGGTGGCAAAGAACAATGTGAAAGATGCAGGCAAAGACACACATACGGTGTGTGAACAGAAACTAGTGTAAACACGGCCGTGTCTGCCACCTCTGATCAGGATGACATCTTTATAGATACAATTCAACTGCTGTAACCAAGCTGCTGTGTTTCTAAGTGGGTGGGCTTTCCCGCTTTCGACCTAACATAAATCATGCCCACAGAATTAGACTGTGCAGTCAGGAGCAAAATATATATGACTTATATATTAATAAAACTTAACAAAGCTTAACTTTGGCATCTGGAGATGGTGATCTCAATTTAGACTGTTCAAGGCCATGGTTAGAGTGTAACACCACATCTCAGCATATATTCCTCTGGTGGTTCACATATTTGAAACCAGTAATAATAATATTATATGGGACCATAAAGTGTTGGAAGTTGCCACAGAAAACAGAGGTGTTATGCCTCTTTGAAAATACAAATTTGTCTATACAAATGTGGTGAAATGATTACAGCCCATTTTAAATATCCCACTTTTCTATGAAACCACAATCAAATGTGTACAGTACCTGGTGCAAAAAATGAAGGAAAAAAAAAAAAGTAACTGTGAGACATTTCCTGTGTTTCCGTCTCTGGGTAAAATATATATAACTCTCCCTCTCTCCTCGAGATGTCGTAAACTTCACAAGCGGAGCCACGGTTTGCAAGCCCTCAACTGGATCATTGTCTTATTCCGGACGTCTCTGACAAACTTGTCTGCCAAATGAAAAGAAACAAGCACATGTCACAGTATTTAAAGGCGATTTAATAAAATCATTGACAAAGTGAGCCATTCAGACTGGACATTTGAGCATGGAAAACTCATGCAGTCATGCAAATATTATTTGAACATATATATATTTAACATGTATAAGCGTGCCTCGGGAGGAACTGAGACGGCAGAATTTCAGCAGAGAAAGAGATTCGTCTTGCTTTCCAGCACTTTATAACTAAACACACTATTGAAACAAGTACTGTCAAAAGTTCGCTCTGCACTGTTGGACTTTTATTTCACATTCAAACCTTATATTAATAAATTTATTACATTTAATATGTTGTCAGATTTTTCGAACTGCATATTACTGTAACAATATTTTTTGGTTATCTGGTGAATACATATTGATATGAGATACGAGGCACTGAATCAGCAGTCTCTAGGCGTTGCACCTTCACTGACGCGTCTGCATGAGAACTCCCTCTCCTCTTAGTAATCAGCGTCCATTTGAAGCAGATAGAGCTCATTTAGTGGGAGGCCATGACCCGACTGACTCAGCGGTCTCTGCTTTCCAGACCTCAGGAATGTCTAGCATTCCCCGAGGAGAGAGAGAGAGAGAAGGAAAGGGAAAGAGAGAGCTTGGTCAAATTGTTGGCATAC